AGGAATCCGGTGTATCATGATCGAAGCAAGCATATAGATACAAGATATCACTTCATCAGAGAGTGCATTACCAAGAAGAAAGTCAAGCTCTAATATGTGAAGTCTCATGATGAGGCTGCAGATATCTTTACAAAGCCTCTTAAGTTTGAGGATTTTCAGAAATTGAGATCAAGTCTTGGAATGAAAAAAAAAATCAAAATTAAGGAAGAGATTTGTGGGGCTCATATTGAAGAAAACAAAAAGAAAAGAAGAAAAATGGAATGCGGGGTGCCTAACTTTGTTGAAGAAAAATGGGATTGGAGGTGCCTAACTTTGTTGAAAAATTATAGGACTAAATGAACAACAAGCCATCTTCTTTGTAGTAGTTGGACGACATCTCTTACTATAAATAGAGGCCTCCATTCTTCATTTCAATTACACCAAAATAAGAGAGAAGCAATAGAAGTTAGAGAGAGTAATCCACAGATTGTAGTTCGTGAGATAAATAGTGAGTGTGAGTAATATTGTAGTGAGATATTTTTAAATAAAGAGTGTTATTTCTTTTAAAATTATAGTAGTCTCTTGACACTACTAAGTTGTAATATTATAGTGGTTATATTGCTCCGCTCGGATATTATATTTTACCCTATTAAAAGAGTTGGTGTCGTTGTTACTCTCCTGTATTATTATTATTTGCCATGGATATTATTCCTGGGAGGGATTATTATTTTTCCCAACAAGTAACAACTATAATCTTTATTTGATTCAATACTTTCAGCACGCTCGAAACTACCATCTGGTACAATCCCAAAGCAAAAGCATTTTATTAAGTATGAGTTTAAGTTTTATATGCAATGATAGAATAAAAAACAGTTATACGATCTGGTTACATACAAATATCTATGACAAGCATTATTTGGACCTTGGAAGCACGGGCGGAGCAGGGTTAAAGTTTTTTTTATATATATATGTTAGTTGTTGAATCCCCTTAATTCCTTCGTGTATTTACTTTCTTATCTTTTGAATCCCCTTGATGAAAATCCCGTTTCCCCACTTTTCCGAAGCTTGTTTGGATCTTCTAAAATACTTGCAGTTGTTGTTGGTGCAGATGACCTCTATAGCGCCTAGCAGAACACGAAGATGCAAGAGGTAAAGTGTTGAATGATTGTGATCGCATCTAGAGCTACAAGATCGCGCAATGAGATGGAGAGTCGGGTGCTTTGCAATTGCGCCCCAGTGACTGCAAATGCAAAGTGAAGGCTGAGTCGTACTAAGACTCTGATCACTCCCCAACATCCATGATCACGCGGAAGCAACTGAACTGCCACATTTCCCTTTTTCGACCTAAATGTATTTTAAGAGCCTTATTATATGGTATCTTAGACTTTTTTTAGCCTATTTTGAACCCCAATATAATTAGTGTCATTTCCTAGTTTGGTATTTTTATGTTTGAAATTGTAAGCTTTGGCTTGACTCTTAGATGCAATCCAACTTTTGGCAGAGATCTTGCAAGGGGATTATCGATCTTCTTGAGTGATTTCATAGTCTAGATGCTTAGATTTCCATTATAGGAAAATCACCACACACAAAAAAAAAAATCCGATTTCCCATACACTGCTGATGTTGGTTTTATGTTCTTGAGCTTGAATTAAAGATTGACAATTGATTTATGAGCTGAAATCTGATATACCGAAGGAAGTAGAGCAATTAGCCGAATCTTCAAAAAGTTTCAATTATAATATTACGCGTTAAATACAAATTTAAATGGAGTAAAACTATGGTAACAACGCTGGAAAAAAGAAGTCTAACTGACCTTGGAATTTAGGACTATAAAGTTACTCCAAAAGTAACCAAACGTCTCTGGCATTAACTTTATGCACTGTGTTAATAAATTTATGCACCACATTGAAAGTGCAAGAGGGGTGAATTGTGATTTTCTTTTCTCTTTCACAGTAGTCGACTAATTTGAGTTCTAGTCGAATGGGCTTTTCAGGAATCGAATGAAAAAGATAAATTACAGAAAATAATTGACACAGTATGTTTTTATACTGGTTCGGATTCAGAGTTAATCCTACGTCCAGTCCCCCTGGGTTTCAAGTGTGATCTCTTTCAAGTACGAAGTGGCTTAGTACAGATGAGTTGATGTTGTTATCCACCGATAACTTGTGTCACTCGTTCTTCTCTCTATAATTGATACAATGCCTCACCAGTATTCTTATCTCTCTCTTCTCTTCTTTGTTATATAAGAAATCTAGAGCAGACTACAATGTTTGGTTTGAAGTAGAACAAAGAGATTAAAGTTATTTTGATCAAAGTATGTTCGCTTCAAATCTGGAACATATGTATATATATGCTTCGTGAGGCCTTCTTGACTTTTGAATGACGTGAATCTTGAAAGATTGCAATCCCAAGGGAGTTGATCCTTGAACAGAATCATAGATTGATTCTTTCCAAGAATAAAGTCAAGTTTTCGTTGATCTTCCTTGATTTGTGGTCTTGACAAGCTTTTCATCCAATAGGCATATCTTTTCATTACTAGAGTGATTTGCGATAGATCCCTTGATATCTGGCTTCAACAATCTCCAGTGCAACCCTTTGCGAACTTGTTTCCCTTTGATTTGGGACCTTCCTGTAATAGCTTATGCCAATCATTTATTGAATCATTGATTGATTCTTCTTCCATATCTCCTTTGCTTCTTCCTTTTTCATCTCTTATTATTGATTCTTTCCTTTGCATTGCTCTGNTATATAAAACAGTTTACTTCCCTGTAGCCGACTCCCCCTCAATAGTTGTTGTATATACTTCAGGCAACTCCCTTTCAACAAGAGTTGCTATCTGTTGCTATCTGTCCTGCAAAGTACAACTTCTTTCTCCCCCTTTTTGACATTAGCAAAGAGGGGATATGCATATATACAGTTGAAATTAAGTAGAAACAGACACATCATAAGCAAATATTTGCAAAATATAGGCATGCAGGATTTAGCAAAAGTATCCAGCGACTGGTTATCCAGTCCAACACAGCAAAATAGCAAAGAGAGATTGTTTGAAACTTCCACAATTAACGACGCAAGAAATAAGTAAGAGTGTTTCAAATTACCTCCTTCAGACGTTCAAAGCTAGCATTGGCTGAAACTATTACCACATCAATCCTGTCATGTACTTCCTTGAAGGCTTTGACTGCATTTTCTCAAAGTTTGAGAATTTTAACCCTTATATTTGAAACATCGAACCCAGTATCTTTGGAGATTGCATGGATGACCCCAATAGTGGATTGAGTTGATGCAAGAAGGTCCTTGATGATGGTCAACTTGTTGTCAATAGCAGACAGTTTCTCCATAAGATCAGAATCCTCTATACTATGATGGGAAACAAAGGCTTTGGTCTTGGGATCAGGCTGAACGCTCTTGACTTCACCTTCCGGTTTCTTCACCTAGGTACCCTTAGCACCACATACCCCATATTGGGGAAGGCTCTAGAGTTGTAGGACTTGGAAACAGAGACAAAGGGGTGTTCTGAGATAGAGATGTTGTGAGATTCCAAAATGTGGGTGATAGTCATACCATAGGGTAAACTGGTGGGATCATCAGCACTCTCAATTATGAAGTTTATGACCTATGAGGATAGTTTAACCTTAAGTTTGGTCACAAGGCAGTAGACAAGAAAGGTATCTCGTTGAGAGAAGGTGGAGAATGATCCAATACGAGGAAGAAGAGTAGTTGCAACAATGTGGGCCAGAACTCGGGTTTCAAAACTAACATCATTGGGACCTAACTAGTTAGGAAGGAAATCAGATGGACACTCAACAATACAACGTTTTGCTTGATCAAAAGAAATTTTAAAATCATCAGGCCAAGTATTCTTGAAAAGCATAGGAAAACCGGAGCACTTACGCTAAAAAATTGAGTCAAACATGGCACAATCAAGGACAATGCGTTTTCTTAGAACTAGGGATTCTAACTTATCAGGACTGCTAGAGCAAAGATTTGCATAAAACATTCACACTAAAGGTTCATAGACTTTGGGAGGGGGTACAGAGAGGAATTTTGGCCATCCTTGAAAAACAAACAGATCATTTACCTTACAATTGAGGGCCTCTATATCATCAAGGTCGATTACTCTACCGTGGGCAATGGGCTTGTCTTTCATAGCAACAAAGAAATCCCTATTCAGGATATCCCAGAAATTGAGGTCAGACTCTAGAGAACTCGAGAGGTCTACTTTGGATTTTTTGGGGGTGAAAGATTCATGGGGGTCTTCCATAGGCCTTTTTCCAAGAGCTTTTTCTCCTATTGGGGGAAAGTTGTCTGATAGTTCTGCCTGAGAAGAGGCAAACTCTTTTGAGTGGTCAGACCCTAAGTCTACTTGTTCTGGAGGTTGAGAAGAGGGTTTTCCCTTGGAACAAGTACTTTTTCTAGTGGAGGAAGACGGATTCTTGGAGTATTTAGCCATTGAGAGACTTTGAGGAAGGGTTTGAAGGATTTTGAGGAAGGGTTTCTGAGTGGTAGGAGCAGTGAAGACAGAGAAGAATGGTTCAGGGGATTAAAAGGAAGGGATTTTGATGGTTGAGTGCAGGAAAGGAAAAGGTGCCAGGAAGGGTCATGACGATTGATTTTCCTTTCTTGAAAGTTGCGACTGATGGGAAAAGAGAGGGAAATCAGAGGCGCTAAATTAATGCATACTTACAGATAAAACAAAATTAAAAATATTAGACACACAAGAATTAAAAACTAATACATATGTCCTAATTTTTATGATCAAGCGAAATAATACCAAGTAATTCTCTTAGGGAGAAAAATCTATCTTCAAGTAAAGGCTTAGTAAAAATGCCAGCTAATTGATCAGTGGTGCCAACAAATGATAATTCTATATCTCCTTTGAGCACGTGATCTCTAATGAAATGATGCTTGATGTCTATATGCTTAGCCCTAGAATGATGCACATGATTCTTTGAGAGACATATAGCACTAGAGTTATCACAAAATATTTGAATAGGCTTAAAAAATAGTTCATAATTACCCAGTTAATGAGACATCCATAGTAACTGTGCACAGCATTGCCCAATGGCAATATATTCTGCCTCCGTTGTGAATAATGGAACTGAGCCTTGTTTCTTAGTGTTCCATGAAATAAATGCCTTTCCCAGTAATTGACATGTTACGCTAGTGCTTTTTCTGTCTTCCTTATCACCTGCAAGACCGGCATCTGAAAAACCTTCCAACTTAAAATTATTAGAATGTGGATACCATAATCCATAAGAAATAGTTCCGATGAGGTAACGAATTATTCTCTTTACTGCAGTCAGATGTGATTCCTTAGGAGCTAACTGAAACCTGACATATTTACACATACTAAACATAATATCTGGTCGACTGACAGTCAAGTAAAGCAAATAACCGATCATTCCACGATATTTAGTTTTATCAACTGGATTTCTTTTGTCGTCCTTGTTGAGTCTTGTTGACGAGCTCATTGGTGTACCCATTGCTTTAGCACTGCTCATGCCAAACTTTTGAATTAATTCCTTTTGTATATTTTGTCTGCACGAACATTCCTTCTTCAGATTGTTGAATTTGTAGTTCAAGGAAAAATGTAAGCTCTCCCATCATACTCATTTCAAACTCACTTTGCATAAGACTAGCGAATTTCTTGCACAAAAGAGGGTTAGTACTTCCAAAGATAATATCATCAATATAAACTTGAATAATAAGATTATCTCATGATGATCTTTTGATAAATAAGGTAGTATCTACTTTACCTCTTGTAAAGCAATGATTAAGTAAAAATGAACTAAGCCTTTCGTACCAGGCTCGTGGAGCTTGTTTGAGTCCATACAGAGCTTTAGTCAACTTTTACACATGGTAAGGGAATTTTGAGTCTTCAAAACCAGGAGGTTGTTTTACATATACCTCATCATCAATGAAGCCATTTAAAGGGCACTTTTGACATCCATCTGAAAGAGTCTAAATCGTTTGAAGGATGCATATGCAAGAAGAACCTATATAGACTCTAGTCGAGCTATTAGTGCAAAGGTCTCATCGTAGTCAACTCTTTCCTGTTGTGAGTAGCCTTGGGCTACTAATCTGGCTTTGTTTCGCACGACCTTTTCGTCTTCATTAAGCTTATTTCTGAAAACTCATTTTGTTCTAACTATAGTAGCATTTGCAGGCTTAGGTAGTAGTTTACAGACTTGATTTTTATCAAATTGATCGAGTTCTTGCTGCATTGCCTGTACCCAGCTGGAGTCTTTCAAGGCTTCCTCAACCTTCTTTGGTTCAATCTGAGAGATGAGTGCTACATTTGCCTTTTTCTTAAGAGCTCCCTGGTTTTCATTCCTTCACTTGGATCTCCTATGATAAACTTTTGAGGATATTTCGGTTCACTTCTCCACTCATTTGGACGTGTTGCAATAATATGAGTAGTTGACTCCTTCTGTGATTCTGGTTGACTGGTGACATGCTCACTAGTTGATTATGTGACACCGTCTATCGTATCAGTCGACTTTTGAGATTTGCTTGACTGCAGTGTTTCTTGACTGATATCTTCATCACCTGTAGTAATTCCTTTCTCAGCCGTAGTATTATTTTCATCAATTATGACATGTACTGATTCTTCTACAGATAAAGTGCATTTATTATAAACTCTAAAAGATCTATTGTTTATGGAATAACCCAGAAAAATACCTTCATCACTTCTTGGATCAAATTTTTCAAGATTGTCCTTACCATTGTTGTGGATAAAACACTTGCTGCCAAAAGGATGAAAATAACCTATGTTGGGCCGTTTACCTTTTCATAATTCATGTGGGGTTTTCTTCAGGATAGGTCTTATAAGACATCTGTTGAGAATGTGACAGGCTGTTCTTACTGCTTCTGCCCAAAAATGGTTTGGCAGAGAATATTCCAATATCATTGTTCTGGCCATATCTTGTAGAGTTCTATTTTTCCGCTCAACTACTCCATTCTGTTGAGGTGATCTTGGAGCTGAGAAGTTGTGAGTATATCCTTGATCGTTGCAGAAATCTTCAAATGCTTTGCTTTCGAATTCTCCTCCATGATCCCTTTAAATGGTTGTAATAAGGTACCCCTTTTCTCTTTCAACTTTCTTACAGAAAATCTCAAAGTATTTCAAGGCTTCATCTTTGTGAGATAAGAAAATCACCCATGTAAAACGTGAGTAGTCATCAACATTAACAAAAGCATATCGTTTTCCTCCTATGCTAGCAGTTCTGATGGGTCCAAAGAAATCCATGTAGAGCAATTGTAAAGGCTTGGTGGTAGATACACTGTCTTTGTTTTTGAAGGAGTTTCTGATTTGTTTGCCAACTTGACATGCATCACATACATGATTTCTAGAAATATTGCGTTTAGAGAGACCAATAACTAAATCATGCTTGTAGAGTTTCTCAATAAGATGCATGCTTGCATGACCAAGTTTCTTATGCTACAACCATGGATCATCAGATTTAGATGCTAAGCAGATGTAACTATCTAGATTTGCAATGCCATCAAGAATGTAAACATTTTCATACCTTTTTCCTGGGAGTATTATTTTACGTGTCTCATCTTCAATAACGCAGCCTGTTTTCTTGAATTTAACTTTGTACCCTGAATCACATAGCTGACTTATACTCAGGAGTTTATAGTTGAGTCCTTCTACAAGATACACTTCAGTAATATCACAGTTGTTGTTGAATGGAACCGTGCCAGTGCCAACTATCTTTCCTTTTGAATCATCACCAAATTTGACACTTCCTCCATTTATCTTTGTAACTTCTTTGAACAGGGTTTTGTCACCTGTCATGTGACTAGAACATGCACTGTCTAAGTACCTTTTTCCTTTGCGGCTCTTTCTGTGGTGTTCCTGCACGATAAAATTATCACTTTCTTTTAGGTACCCAAGCTTGCTTGGGTCCTTGTTGGTTAGTTCTACTAAGATTAGGATTTTTTTGGGTTTCCAAATCCATCCCGAATAATTAGATTTATGAGATCGATAGAAAGAATATTTATGTCCACTTTTGTTACAGTAGTGACACATAGGGGTTGATCCAGTTTTTGATCTTCCACTTTTTGATAGTTCTATTCTTGAATGGTATTGCTTCTTGATTCCATTATTTTATCCCTTATGATCCTGCACCACATGTGATATATTATTTTTCATCATTGAAACTCATAATTAACACACATTGTGTAGAACGTGTTCAGTATGATACGAGTTGATTTGTTGATTCAGTTAAATTTCAGTTAGAATTCCAGCTTAGCTATTTTAGTTGTTAAATTTGTAATTTAATTGAAGATTTAATCATTGTAATAGCTAGTTAGTTAAGGTCACGTGCAATATGTGACCTCTGCTACAATGTGAAGGAGTTAGTTACAACTAACTTCCGGATTCCCTTTCCCTCTTAACTGCTCGCGTATACACAAGCAGTGGATTTAGTTATACCACTCATTCCTATATCATAATCAATAAGAATCTCTCTTAATTCTCTCATTTTATTCTTCTTCTTCTTCTTTTCTTCTTCGTCGAGCTCAACTATTCAGAGGCATTTCTATACATTTTCTTCTTAGGTTTTGCTTGTTCTCTTTCTAATTCTGTGTAGTGCGCATCATTGATATCAGAGTAGTGTTCCTCTGACCTGCTATCACGGGTGATCACAACACTCGAATGCAAGAATTACAAAGAGAAGTTGATTCCTTGAAAGGTTCGATGGAAGGTGTAGTTGGTTCTATAGCAGATCTGCATCAAGTAGTAGATGCAAAGGTTGCACAGGTGATTGAGGAAATCAAGTGATTAATGACTGGGATTTTGAACCCTCCGATGGTTTAAAACTTTCATGTTAATGGAGAAAATCATGTGGATAATAATGTTGTTCCTATGGAGAATGGGTATAGGGTTAATAACATAGCTGGCCACTGCCGAATAACAGCTCGAAACTACCAGGTGGATTTACCAAAATATGATGGCTATGGGTTGAAGGACTGGCTCTACAGCCGTGAGCAGTTCTTTGATGTGGATGAAACACCTGAGGATGCTAAGGTGAAATTGGATTCCTGCAAACTAGAAGGGAAGGCCTTACAGTGGCATCAATCCTACATAAAGCATAGGGTCACAAGGGAATGACCAAGATGGGGTGAATATGTCAGGAGTTTGTATGCACGATTTGGGTTAGAACTGTTCGATGATCCAATGAGTGACTTCAAAGAGCTTCATCAGGTAACTACTGTCCAAGAATATGTAGATGCTTTTGATGAATTACTTACAAGAGTAGAGCTTTCTGAATATTATGTTGTGAGTTGTTTTGTAAGGGGGCTTAACCCAGAAATTGGGTTAACTGCCAAAATGTTAGGCCCTAGATCTTTAGCCAAAGATGTAAGCTTAGCTAGGATTCAAGAACAAACTCTAATGGTTCAGAAATAGCTTTTTTCTAATCCTTCCCCTCAGAATCCCAGAACTAATAGCAAGTTTGGATCCCATGCTCCTATATTTTCCTATGGATCCTCCCAGCTTGTTAAACAGCCCTAAAACTTTCCCAGACCCCAAAACATCACTCATAACAATCCCCTGCCCAAACCAAACAACAATCCAAATATTAAACCAAACTTTAAACATGCTAAACTCCTAACAACTGCTGAAATGGATGAAAGGAGAAGTCAGGGATTATGCTTCAATTATGATGAGAAATACACATATGGTCATGTTTGTAAGAATAGAAGGCAGTTGTTTTATATGGAAATAGAAGAAGGATGTGAGGAAATAAAGGAACTAAATGATGATGATGTAATACTAGAATCTGCTGAGTTCCTAACAATGGGTGGCCAGGGCTTTTAGACTGATGAGGAAGGCTAAATTCTGCCTCATGTCTCAGTTCATGCTATGAATGACTTGGACGACTTTAGATGCATGAGAGTCACAGTATCTGTCAAAGGCAAGGCTATTCATGTGTTGATTGATACTGGCAGCACCCATAATTTCTTGGATCTCAATATTGCTAAGAAATTAGGGTGTGTCTTGACTACCATAGCATCCTTTGATGTCTCTATACCTGATGGGAAGAAGATGCAAAGCTATTATGTGTGTAAGAAGCTGAACTGGAAAATGCAAGGGGTTACATTTGATTCTGATATGCTCATCCTGCCTATTGGAGGGTGTAACATGGTTTTAGGGATACAATGGTTGATCACCTTAGGTGATATTAAGTGGAATTTTAGGAAACTCAAAATGGAGTTATGTGTCCTAGGACATAAGGTATCATTGAGAGGAATGCAACCAACTGCTGTTAAAATGATTCAGCAACATATCATGGAGAAATACTAGCTAAACCAGTTGAACTTTGCATGATATCTGTAGGAATCTTTAAGGGTGAACAACAGGAAGAGGTTGGTGCCAGTTTACTTTCAATAAGTGATCACACTGATCAACAAAGGGATATGCAAGATTTGCAAACAATTTCGTAATAATATGAAGATTTATTTGAAGTACCTAAGG